GGTGCAGTGTGGGGTGCAGTGTGGGGTGCAGTGTGGGGTGCAGTGTGAGATGCTGTGTGGGGAGCTGTGTGAGGTGCAGTGTGGGGTGCAGTGTGGGGTGCAGTGTGGGGAGCTGTGTGGGGAGTTGTGTGGGGTGCAGTGTGGGGTGCTGTGAGGAGCTGTGTGGGGTGCAGTGTGGGGTGCTCTGTGGGGTGCTGGGCGGCTGCAGCTCCCAGTCCCGGCACCAGCGCCGCTGGCACAGGGTGTGGGAGGGTGGCAGGGGCTGTGCCAGTGCCCACCCCCAGCACAGGGTGCGAGGGGTGCCCTGGGTAACTCAGCAGAACGTGCTCGGGAGGGCTCTGGTGCGAGAGGCACCAGCTCGGCCGAGGGGGTGGGAGATCAGTGCCAGCAACATCCCCCCTCTGGGGAGCCAAAAGGGGTGGAAAACACAGAGGGTCTGGTGGCCAGGGGTGCTGGCACAGCTCCATGGTGGGAATGAGGCCCACCCTTTCCTCCCTCCCCTGTGCCCAGCAATGATCATGGCACAAGTGCAGGAAAGCACTTCCCAAGTCACCACACTGTCCCTCGTGCTGCCACCCCCTGTCCCTCGTGCCACACCTGCTGAGCTCACCGTGGGTCCTCCTTGGTGCTGGGAAGGCCAAGAAGGGCAGGATTTAACACCTCTGGTGCTGTCAACGTGGGGCAAGTCAGTCTGGGGAAGCTGGAGCCCCCAGAGTGGAGTCCCCTGGGGTGCTGCTCACGCCTCCCTCTAAGCATGGGCTGTGGATGGAGTGGGAGTCCCTGTGCTGGCACCAGTTTCGCCCAGTGCCACACTGCTGGGATGCCCAGGACACGGCCCAACCCAAACCATGGGCTCATCCCACACCCCTGCCCTGGCCGAGCTGTGCCAGCCCCATCCCGCACCAGGGCCTGTGTCCTGTGCCGCACCCCAGCCCCGTGCCAGCGAGCCCCAGCGTCACCAGGTGATGCCAGGACAGGGCTGGCAGTGCAGCCTGGCACACGGTGGGGACCGCGGGGACCCCTCACGTACCTGCTCTGGCGGAGCGTGGCCTCTCCTCTCCGGGGAGCAGAGCTCCCACACACACGGCTGGCACTGCCCCTGCACCGAGGGAGCTGGGCAGCCGGGAGCCAGCTCAGCTGGGGAGGTGCCAGGGAGCGGCCGGCACAATTCCCGGCATTTCCAGGAGCTTTTCTTCCCTCTCAGTGGAGATGAAGGAGCGCCCCGGCTTCATCTGTCACCCCGGCACTCCCGCTGGAGCTGCTGGCACCGGGTTATGTCCTTGAGACACAGACCGGTGCCATCTGGGCAAAATGCCACAAGATCCCTGGAGACCAAGGAGTTCCGTGCTGCATCCAGAGCCTCACGGAGCATCCAGAGCCTCACGGAGCATCCAGAGCCTCACGGAGCATCCAGAGCCTCGCAGAGCTCCGAGTACGCCATGATCAACAACAATTAACTGCTTTGTGGCTGGGGCAAAGTG